CCCTCGATCCCAAATCATTGAGGCCAATTTCTAGCCATGGAATAATGGCGATCCCAAATCATTGAGGACAATTTCTAGCCATGGAATAATGGCGCGGCGGTCGGTGATTAAGAGGAAAGAAAGGGATTATTTCCAGGTAGCCTTAATAAAGGCAGGTAGATTTTGCTCCTTGCACTACACTTTCACAAAACACGTCTGCTCTGCTCGGCTGCCCGCTCGGAACTGCACAGTAATCCCAAGTGCCCAGTATCATTTATCTAGGGAACTGCCCTAAGACTAAAGACTACTTATTGAAGTGAAGTTGGTGGTATTTTCTACATTTTTATTGGCAGCACTGTTCTATTTCTTCTAAAGTCAAAATTTATGTAGAAAAAATGACAGTTGTCAGGATTATAATTTCGTTATATGTATACTGACAGGAGCAAATAAATATTATTGCATATTTTGTTTAGACGATATTAAAAATAAAAAAGAAATAATAAAAATGGGGATATTTGGAGCATCAAATGATGTTACAGTTACTGAAGAAGTAGGTAAGTTATATGTTGGTTGAATGGCTTTTTACATGGAAACAATGTTATTTATCTGATAATCTATGTATGAGTCATATAGAACATATTAATTTCTTATTTTTTTACGATGTAGAAACGGCAACAAATGAGAAAAGTGTTGAAGAGGATTGGGGCGTTATTATGAACATTTGTGATAAGGCTGGCAAATCATCAGAGGCTGCAAGAAACTATCTAAAAGCTATAATTAGACGATTGTACAACAATGATCCTCATGTTGGGATAAAAGCTGTAACGGTATGTGTACTGTGGATATTCCATGGAAATAGTAATAAGTAATTTTTTTCAGCTTTTAGATGCTTGTGTAAAAAATTCAGGGAAAACCTTTCATGTAGAGGTTGCTTCAAGAGATTTTGAAAATGATTTCACTAAATTAATGACCAAAGCTCCTCCAAGTGTAGCCAAGAAATTAAGAGAGTCTTTAAAAAGGTGGGCTGAAACTGAATTTAAGATTGATGGTCAATTGAACCTTATACCTTCTTTGTATTCAAAGTTAAAAAACTCTGGATATGATTTTTCCTTAAGTGAAACAGTAAGTAGAATTTTTTTCTCTATTATAAATAGTTAAAAATTATACCACTAAATGAAATATTTTATAAAAATGTGAAGTATTCTGTAAGAACATGAATTGTTAAATTTATATTATTAGTCTATTAGTAATTTCACGACTATCGAACATAAGATTAACATTACATTATTCCTTACATTTTCATTTCATTACTCTTATCTAGGTTTGTTAAACAGCGGACATTTTATTTCTGAGTTTATTAATTTTTTTATATGTTCCTAGTTTAATCATATTTTTTGAGAGGACTGCAGCAAAATATCTTAATTTTTATATTGAAAAGACTTCTTTTGGTTGAACAATTTCGGGGCTGTATGCCAAGTTAAGACCTCTTGATGTTTTGACAGGCATCACTCTCTTCTTCAGAACAACCTGAAACTCCGTTAAACTAATATGGAGCTTTCATAAATGATTACAATCCACATAACTAAAAATTTTATTTTCTTCACATTGGCAATTAAATTTCTAAAAAATTAAAAATTATTAAAACAATGAAATCAAAATTATATTAACTCACAATATTCTGTTTCACCGGTTGTAATTGGTGTAATTTTTCACGAGATATTCAACCAATCAGAAGACGAGTAGGTACGAAATGGTGGCACCTTAAAATGTATCAATTTTGAAATATTTGTTCATTTATTAAATTATTAATGAGCATATATAACACATGATAAGTGGATCTTGCGTCTAGTGTCCTAAGTACATAATATTTTTTATAATAGAGAATTTTTAACTTTTGAATATTTGAAAAAGCAGCTGTTTGCCTGATAATAAATCCTAACATTCTTTTTGTGGAATCTGTAATATTTCTTATACCTTATGTTTTAAAAATAAAAGTCACTACTATATCTTAGACTAGGTTCTTAATACTAGCTTTGTTCCTAGTGCATTAGAAATACTTTCCAACAGTTAGGCGTGGTATCACATTTGATTCAAAATAATTAAATTTTATGTTTTTCTTCGAATGCCGTGTGTATATCATTAATAAATAAAAGTAAATTTTGCTATACTAAATTTTTTTTATTTACATATGTTGATAAAGTTTGGAGTAGATAATTTGTTCAAACAATACAGGGTGTAATTTTGAATGGGGGTCATATTTATACAGAGGCTGCCTTTGATCTTTAGAAACATAAGTTTGTTTTCTCAAATTCCATTGTGAAAACTGATTTTTTTTTACATTTTTTTCATAACTTCATACCCCGCTACTAGATGAGCTATTGTGACCTTAAATAACGGCACACGTTAGTTGCAGCACATACACACTTGGGACCTGCAATATGCATGGTTGTCAAATCTCATTATTTAAATAAAAAGTTTATAATTTTACTATAAAACAAATTTCCCCACTATCCGTTGTAAACTACTGTTCTTTGGCTCATTACTTTTATTGAATGGGGTTTGTCAGGAGCCATATCATACCACATAAACAAAAATTTAATTCTTTTAAACAAGATAAGCTATGAAAAAATACCTAGCAAGTAATCTAATGGAAAACTCAAACAGCAAAAAATAAATAATGATAAATGAGCTACACAAAAATAAGTAAATAATCTGTTTACTCACCTGATTTTTACAGTATATCCCCAAAATTTCCTCCATTACTGTCCAAACACGTCTCGATACAGTTGAGTCAAAAGTTGCCTTCTTTGTTGCATTTTTCCTGTACCTCTCGCAGAATTCTACATGTCTTGGTAATTCTTCCGGTTTCATTGCCAGTATTTTCTGCCATGTGATATAAATGTTATCCATGTAGGTTCAACGTTTATTAGTCCAAGAGTTGGCTGCAGAAACAGTGCCACATCTATGCCGGTTAGAAATACCTGGCACGAAAATGCTTATGCTATTACTCGTACAACATATTACAAACATTTTTAGGGATAAAATAATAATAATTCAATAAACAACTACATTAATTTTAAAACAATGGTTTTTATTTATTCGAAGATTTTATACAATATAGATGTGTGATACAATAAAATTTTTCACATATGTACATACTACAAAAGAATTGATTAAAACTTACAAATTTAGAAGTACACATTAAAACATACATATACAATTATTGTTTTTAAACATCATCATTACCATCGTCATCATTATCGTAATGATCATCGTCATCATTTTTGTTGCGGTCATCATTATCATCATTATGATCATCGTCAATATTATAAATTTGATTGCATTTTACTTCATCAAGCTCTACCATAACAATGTCCTCAACTAAAAGAGGTGTTCGAACTAAAGGGGTTCATTTATTGTCGTTAACTGTCCATCTATATAGCTATATACAGAATCTTGAAAAAAATATAGTAACTGACCCCTCTAAATTTTGGTCGTTCATTCAATCCAAGAGAAATTCATCAAGGATACCTGGTATAATGAGTTATAATGACAGTACATTTGACACTCCTCAGGATGTGGTTAATGGATTTTCAACTTTTTTTTCGAATGTGTACCTGCCCTCAAATGTGGCTCCCCTGAAATATTGTAACTCATTTGGTAGTACCTGTATAATTATTGATTCCATCTCAGAAGATGATATCATCAAAGCTTCCAAAAAATTGAAAAATAAAATGACATCTGGAGTTGATAATGTTCCAAGTTTTATAGTCAAAGATTGCATTTCTGCATTGGCTACACCACTATGCTTAATATTTAACCTTATATTGAAGAATTGTGAGTATCCTGACTTGTGGAAGTTGACTAGGATTTGTCCCATATTAAAGTCCGGTGACCCGTCACAAACTAGTAATTATAGACCTATTGCTATTCTATGCAATTTTGGAAAACTATTGGAAACGATCATTTATGACAATGTTTACAGTTCAATAAAACGAGTAATATCCCCCTTCCAGCACGGGTTTGTGGAAAATAGATCAACTGTGACAAATTTAACATGCATCACTCAGTATATATCTAGCATTCTTGACAGACGGGNCTTTTGGTTGAACAATTTCGGGGCTGTATGCCAAGTTAAGACCTCTTAATGTTTTGACAGGCATCACTCTCTTCTTCAGAACAACCTGAAACTCCGTTAAACTAATATGGAGCTTTCATAAATGATTACAATGCACATAACTAAAAATTTTATTTTCTTCACATTGGCAATTAAATTTCTAAAAAATTAAAAATTATTAAAACAATGAAATCAAAATTATATTAACTCACAATATTCTGTTTCACCGGTTGTAATTGGTGTAATTTTTCACGAGATATTCAACCAATCAGAAGACGAGTAGGTACGAAATGGTGGCACCTTAAAATGTATCAATTTTGAAATATTTGTTCATTTATTAAATTATTAATGAGCATATATAACACATGATAAGTGGATCTTGCGTCTAGTGTCCTAAGTACATAATATTTTTTATAATAGAGAATTTTTAACTTTTGAATATTTGAAAAAGCAGCTGTTTGCCTGATAATAAATCCTAACATTCTTTTTGTGGAATCTGTAATATTTCTTATACCTTATGTTTTAAAAATAAAAGTCACTACTATATCTTAGACTAGGTTCTTAATACTAGCTTTGTTCCTAGTGCATTAGAAATACTTTCCAACAGTTAGGCGTGGTATCACATTTGATTCAAAATAATTAAATTTTATGTTTTTCTTCGAATGCCGTGTGTATATCATTAATAAATAAAAGTAAATTTTGCTATACTAAATTTTTTTTATTTACATATGTTGATAAAGTTTGGAGTAGATAATTTGTTCAAACAATACAGGGTGTAATTTTGAATGGGGGTCATATTTATACAGAGGCTGCCTTTGATCTTTAGAAACATAAGTTTGTTTTCTCAAATTCCATTGTGAAAACTGATTTTTTTTTACATTTTTTTCATAACTTCATACCCCGCTACTAGATGAGCTATTGTGACCTTAAATAACGGCACACGTTAGTTGCAGCACATACACACTTGGGACCTGCAATATGCATGGTTGTCAAATCTCATTATTTAAATAAAAAGTTTATAATTTTACTATAAAACAAATTTCCCCACTATCCGTTGTAAACTACTGTTCTTTGGCTCATTACTTTTATTGAATGGGGTTTGTCAGGAGCCATATCATACCACATAAACAAAAATTTAATTCTTTTAAACAAGATAAGCTATGAAAAAATACCTAGCAAGTAATCTAATGGAAAACTCAAACAGCAAAAAATAAATAATGATAAATGAGCTACACAAAAATAAGTAAATAATCTGTTTACTCACCTGATTTTTACAGTATATCCCCAAAATTTCCTCCATTACTGTCCAAACACGTCTCGATACAGTTGAGTCAAAAGTTGCCTTCTTTGTTGCATTTTTCCTGTACCTCTCGCAGAATTCTACATGTCTTGGTAATTCTTCCGGTTTCATTGCCAGTATTTTCTGCCATGTGATATAAATGTTATCCATGTAGGTTCAACGTTTATTAGTCCAAGAGTTGGCTGCAGAAACAGTGCCACATCTATGCCGGTTAGAAATACCTGGCACGAAAATGCTTATGCTATTACTCGTACAACATATTACAAACATTTTTAGGGATAAAATAATAATAATTCAATAAACAACTACATTAATTTTAAAACAATGGTTTTTATTTATTCGAAGATTTTATACAATATAGATGTGTGATACAATAAAATTTTTCACATATGTACATACTACAAAAGAATTGATTAAAACTTACAAATTTAGAAGTACACATTAAAACATACATATACAATTATTGTTTTTAAACATCATCATTACCATCGTCATCATTATCGTAATGATCATCGTCATCATTTTTGTTGTGGTCATCATTATCATCATTATGATCATCGTCAATATTATAAATTTGATTGCATTTTACTTCATCAACAATAACAATGTCCTCAACTAAAAGAGGTGTTCGAACTAAAGGGGTTCATTTATTGTCGTTAACTGTCCATCTGCATTGTTCTGGTAAGAAATTGATGCAGCTTGCTT